TTTCAATAAATAAACGTATTCTTCATAAAGAAATGGGCCCACCAGCGGCCGAGCGGTAAAGACGCTGAACACTGGTAGTTCGGTCCGAGGTTCGAATCCCGCGAACGGGCTGGCTGCATGGGCGTTTTCGTGGTTTTCCCTATGTGTAACGTATATACGAGCCAGTTTCCCTTAGAAAGTCCATCACGAAGGCATCCCTCCCTTTAGGCAGATAGCCCTCGTGTGCCATAATTGCCATAATTTGCCATAATTGAATAACCCATAACCCATAAAGAAATGCAACGAAGTTTAATCTATTAATTAAAAATTAATTACATGTAATCTACAAGATTAAATAATAATATAAAAAATATCCTACAAGATGCAAAATATAAAATATCGTTCCATCTCTGATTGTATGTAACACTAAAATGAATACTAATCATACCAGTTAAGATATTCCCCCTAATTTTGCTATTAAATGTGCCGAAATAAGATGGCATAAAAGATTATTACACCATTTATTTACCAGAATATGTGTTACCGTGAAAGACCGAAATTGGAGAATGTTGACTTTCACCGGAGAATGTCACATTCACCAAATACGTCGGTGAAAGATCGAATATTTCATTACATTCTAATACGCTCACCGGTGTATGTCGACAATCACAGATATGCTCTGGTGTAGGTCGAAAAGAGAGGAGTCTATGTACACGCTGTCATTGCTAAAGGAAGTGTTACACAAATAAATGCAGTTGTAAAAACAAGGGCCTCTTGTGCAATTCAAAGTGTCATAATAGTTTACGTTGTTGCAATAAATAAGATTTGAATCACATAATTGAGTAACTTTTTAACTTCTATTATTTTCCTTTCTCATTTTGAATGCACTGTGTGTTTTAAGTTTAATGTTATTAAGTTCTTATTTTAAGTCTCAAGTGCGTTTTTTGCGACTGAATGACGGAGAAGAAAATATAATATTCTTATACGTTCAACATTCACCATTATTACATGGTGAATGTCGACATTGACCGGTGTAAGTCAGAAATAAGAGTATTTGGAAAATATTTCGGACATACACCAAGCGACTAGGTGAATGTTGACATTCACTGGTGAAAGTGGACATTCTCCAGATTTCGGTGTTTCACCGTGACATATGCACTCTTTTAAATTGATTTACTTCGAACTGTGTTTTGGCGGTCACTAAAACTTTAATATAAACTCCATCCAAACTCTAGCTCCACACAACATGAAATTTGCATTCAAACAACAGCATTCAAACAACATGAAATTTGCATCATATGATAGGGGAACCGGAAAGTAATAGCGCTTTCTTACATTAAATTCAAACGAATACATTTTAACAAGTTTTTGTTTTTAATATAACCACCCTCGTTATCAACAACCTTTTGTAATCTAATGTGCAGATTTTCAATCCCGGACCGATAAAAATCAATTGGTTTTTGAGTAAAATATCTCGACAGGACATTTTGGACATCAACCAAATTTTCAAATTTTTTGCCACTAAGAAAATGTTTTAGGGATCCGAATAAATGGAAATCCAATGCTGCGGTATCTTCCGAGTATGGTGGGTGAGTATGGCAGTACCTCCCACCCCAATTCATTCACTCTTTCCAGTGTTCGTCTTGCACAGTGCGGTCTTGCATTGTCGTGTTGCAGAATGACGCCTTTTTTTGTTGACAATTGATATTTTTCGATTAAAGATTGGTTCAATCCATCCAGGTGTTCATAGTAAAGGTCTGCATTAACAGTTTGTCCAGGTTTCAGCAATTTAAAATGAATAATTTCGCGAATACTCCATCAAACACCCAGAACCACTTGGATTATCATATAGGAGTTTTTTTTTTTTTTTTTTTTTTTTGTCTCCACTAATCAAACGATCAAGAAACGGTTCTGTATGGTGCCGTTGAAGCAATACGTTGCATGTAATGGATAGGTTGGCTTTGTTCTTTTCGAATAGATTATGGGGGACTTAAACACCTGCTTTTCTTATTTTTCCATTCTGCTTTAAATGTTCTTGGATGGTCGACCAAGGTTGGTTAAGAGTGTTTCACATGGATTTGCTTCCACTTCTGCCCTTAGCATGTTGTTGTCGACATGCGCAGAAACGACATTACTTTTCGATCCCCCTATTACATACCGCAATGCAATATCCAAATGATGAACATCTTAGCGCACGCGCAAAAAAAAAAAAAATAGAAAGGGAATATATAAAGGGAGGAAAGTTTGCCGTTTTGAATAACGTGAATTGTTTTCTGGTAAATTAAATGGGAAATTATTTTTCTTGATCGTTTAATACAAATTTCAAATGCTAACCTACGCATAAAAGAATAGGCATATGGTTTTTCGAAAGATGTCTTAAAGAAAAACGCATCTTGGGCCAATACGCTACATGTATATTTAATAGTTATTATAATTATATACAGAATAATTGTTAGCTGTTTTTATTATATTCTGATTTTTATTTATTTAAAGTAAAGAATTTTAAACCTTGCAAAGCATAATATTTATAGAATAACATTAATGTAAGCTAGTTTTATTCTTTCTAATTTTGCTTGTTGTAAAAGTGGTTGTTCAAATATATTTTTATTTTATCGTTTCCCTTTCGTGCGTTTATTGTCTAACACTATACATCCACTATTTGCATTATCTGAAAAAATGCTTTGTTGTCACCGTGTTTTTAACATTAGATGACCGTTTACAACATAGTTTGACACACGGCGTTTTAAAATTATCTAATAACTTAAGTCTAAAATCTTGATAAATACACACCTGTGAAAGTGTAGAATACTGACAATTTAAGCATATTTTCCTTCATTTTCTGATTAGGATTTCCTTCATTTTCTGATTAGGATTTCCTTCATTTTCTGATTATGAATTGTTGATTCCTAATTCTTATTAATATTTTAGCTTTTTTAAATAAATTGAAATAACCAAACTGTCACATTTCACTCTATTTAGTCTCCTTTTCTTAGGTAACATATACTAACGAGGTCTAAAAGACTGTATGAGGAATTATCCTCGGGTCTTATTGATGACAAAAAGTCAGAAGAAGGGTGTAAAGAACCCTTTATTCTCTCAGTAGAATTTCACCGATGACCTCACTTCGGCTTACACAAAGCCAACACTTTGGCTTAACTCAAAACAGAAAACGATGAACTTAAAATAAGTAAGTTTAGCCTAACGGCTCACAAAATGATTTAACGTGTAGAAAGGCTCTCACTCGTAGAAGTCGGCGAAAACAAGCATAATGGCTAGAAGTCCTCAACGCCACAGAAATGTAATCGGTAATAATTCAAGGTAGCAACGTGATCTTCAAGCAAGCATAACCCAAACGTTCCCTAAAATGCTACTTTTCTATCTCATTTTAATACACATGCCCTTACTTGTTAACCTTCAGGCAATAAAGCGTGGTTGAAAGTGAGACTGTAAGGAAAGTTACTGTAAACTAAAAATAAACTATTAGTTAAATTAAAGAAATCTCCACAACTCTGATATCATCTTCGAATTACCATTAAAATATCTTGCTCATTGTTAAAAACTCAGTAATATGCAAGTTTGCTTATAGAGTGTATTATTCATTTGGTATTTCTTTTATGTGAATTATTGTATCCAAATAATAATATGACAATGAAAAACTTTTAAAAACCTAAAGAAACAGAGCTAATGAAAAGTTAAGCAAATAAAACTTTTGCTAGAACATTTACCTATGGACTTTAACTTAAAGGAGAAAACGTTTTACTACTAGTTATCATTCTCTAGCAAAATTTTAAAGTCTCAAATTTAGCAGTATGCCTATCTTCATGTAAAAAATTATTATGTCTTTTTTACAGAACCGTTATATTCTCTGTTCGAAAGTATATCTAATTTGTCCTTAAGTAGACTGGATATATGTCTGTTACATTTTAATAAAAATATAATTCTCGAGGACCTAAAATTATGTTTTTAAAGCCCTCTTTAGCACAGCTTGTATAACTTACATCCAGTGCATTCCTGTATTTAAGTAATTGAAATATCTCTTTATTTAACAGCTGTTTATTGATGTTTATATTATTAATGCTTGCCTGTTTATATTGATGTTTATATTATTAATGCCTGTAAAGTAATACAGTATGTATTACTTTACAGGAAATGTAATTGCTTCTATTTAATCTAACAAAAGAAACAATTAAATTGCAAATAAACACCTGAATCACATTTTAGATTAATATCTAACGTACTTTGCATGCTTGTACAATATCCTGTCAAAATACTACAATTTAAATATAGATGATAATCATAGTAATTATTGTTCTATTTATCATTAGTATATTGATGACGATGTTATACCACTTTACGGGAACTTTAATTACTTCTATTTAGCTGCAGTTTCAAACTATGCAATTTTATTCGCACTTATATTTACACAGAATGTTTAGATGTTTTGTGTTTGTGTGTGTGTGATCTTTAAACCCAGTTGTACAGAAGTAAGATACACCTTTCCCAAAATATTTTTTTCTCTGATGTTGTAATCATTACAGTATTTTGATAAATATATTTATGTGCACATTTACCAACAGTTTCTTCCTGAATTTGAAATACTGTATGAAAACAAATAACAGGAAAAGGTAGTTGTACACAGATAGCGGAAGATTTGAGATAAATTACCTGCTTATACCTTAGACAACAAATATCCTCGTCTTCTGTGACATCTGTTACTGTCACCACCGCAGTTTTATCAGAAATAATATATAAACTTGAGCCTAAAGATTCAGATTTCTAGTTTAAATTGGGATTTATATTACTCCTCATAGCTCATTTGCTGTAGCTTAAACCATTGATATTGATAGCAAACATTAATCTACAAGAACTCTGAAGATAAACTTTAAATATGCAGTACTACAAAGCATTTTTTAATTCAGAATCTAACTTCGTCCCTTTTCTAAGCATAAAGTGTTCCTTATCAAACTACATGAATCCTTGTTGAACGTCTATTTGTTCTTTTGTATGTTTTTCTATTTCAGATTACTATGTGGACGTCGTTCGTGAATCTCCTTCAACCCTCTCTGACAGCACGTTACGTCACATCATGCAACTGGTGACTTTAGGTACAGGATTAAGCGTACCTCCGCCTATAAATTTGAGATATAGGGAAAAGTCCCTGAAGAGGGCGCGAGTAAGCGCTCCTCATCCTCGTCGCACTTCTGAGCAGCAGAGCATAGGCTCTGAGTTTTTAGGCAAAAGAGCTTCCCCAGAACTCGAGAAAAAGATGGGATCCGAATTTCTTGGCAAAAGAATGGGGTCGGAATTTCTGGGCAAAAGGGCATCAGATGATATAGATAAAAGAATGGGATCCGAATTCCTTGGAAAAAGAATGGGCTCAGAGTTCTTGGGGAAAAGAATGGGCTCTGAATTTCTGGGCAAAAGAATGGGATCGGAGTTCTTGGGAAAGAGAATGGGATCTGAGTTTTTAGGCAAAAGAATGGGCTCAGAATTTTTAGGCAAAAGATCAGACGAATATGAGCAAGACAGTGCTGAAGATATCCCTCTTAAAAGAATGGGATCAGAATTTTTAGGAAAAAGATCAAGAAACGGAGGCGATGGTGAGGCAGAGTTTGAGCACACGAGCTCCAACTCTTTGGGCAACATCTCTCATGTCTTTGAGACTGAAAAGAGGATGGGTTCCGAATTCCTTGGAAGGAAGAAGAGAGACACGAAGACAACACACAGGAGAACATCTGAAGCGTAGGGTGAGAAAGGGAAAAATGCAATGTGTATATTTATGTGTGTGTGTGCCTTTTGTCGTCGGAATGTATGTTACGTGGAATGCCAAGAAATACTCCTCAAATTAAATCCTAATGGCCCATTGATAATTAAAACTGGCGTTATAAGTCTGGATATAAAACACTTTTAATTAGTTAAAAAGCTTAAACTCATGATACTAAAAATAGCTAAAATTATTATAAGTAATAGTTCAGTTAGCTCGTATTATTTTCCACTGTTTACATACAAAAACCAAGTTGATTAAAAGCAAAACATTTAGAATGTAAAATGCATTTGCATTAAAAAGGAAGATCATCACGGGTATTGTATCCATCATGTGTATTGTATCCTTAATTGATATTTGTAAGGTGGTATTTAAAATCATTTTACCACTAGATCCAGAAAAAATAGTTGGATAAATGTTTGAGGAATGTACTAATTTGAAGTTTGAGTGTTTGATAAGAATACTATCAGAATGAAACTCTGAATACAAAAAAAATATTTAGAAGTCTCTTAAAATTCCGTACGCTTTTTTATAAAAATATATCAGTAATTTAAAGCAAAAGAGCACTTTTTCTCAAAACCCTGATTATGCCCATTAAATTCTTAAACATGCACACAAAGACCTGATTATGCATATTAAGTCTTTAAACATGCACACAAAGATCTGATTATGCCCATTAAATCTTTAAACATGCACATAAAAGCATGATTATGCCCATTAAATCTTTAAACATGCACATAAAAGCATGATTATGCCCATTAAATCTTTAAACATGCACATAAAAGCATGATTGTGCCCATTAAATCTTTAAACATTCAGCTATGAAATTAAAATGAAATACGTTCTCTACCACTGCACTTTTTATAGCGTTTCTGTTTAAATAAACATTCTTCTAATAATTCAGATTTAAAAATATTTTGATAAAAAACTTAAATTGAACTTTCTAAACTTTTATGCAAAACTTTCGTTAGTTTAAATCTTAGAAAAATACTGGAATAAGGAATAAATTTAGATATCTATATTAAACATACGGTATTTAATCAAAAGTTTTAAAAGACAAAAATGTAGGCATGAGTCCAGGCAATGTTCTTATAAAAACAATTGCTGAACCCTTAATGTCGTGAAAACGTTATAGTATATTCTAGCTTGTAAAATTTCAGATATTGTTAAAGATAAAATAAACTGTAATTACGAAGATTAAAATAATGTATATATATAGATATGACGTACCAGCTTTTGTCCGGAATAAATAGAATGCTGAAGAATCATAAATGTAGTCGTAGCTTAAATTATCAGACGATAAGTTTAAAAAACAGGATCCATTTATTATTGGTCAGGAGAAAATAGCAGTTACAAAATCAGATATCCGGAGTAAATAAAAAAGAATTACTAATAACTTTTTTATTAAGTTTACTGCATCGTGACATTTAAGAAAAGCCCCCGATATTCCTTTGCGAGTCCTTTTATAGCCTCTGGAAAGGCGGAGCTTCCAAGAAAATGACGTCAACCTCGTCAGCCAATCCAGTTAGCTTTAAATATTTCCAGAACATTCTATAACTGTACGCGTAGAAAAGGCGGGAAAAAGAAGTTGACTACGGGCTGTGGATTTAATTCCACGTACTTTCAAATAAGAGAACGTCGCCATTAAAAATGAAAATAACATACCAGTTAGAATTTTAAGTGTATTCTTGACTATGGAATTTTATTATTACATATATATAATTGACTCATCAAAACGCAATAATTAATTTATTAGAAAACAATAAACAGTTATAAACATGCAACATTCAAATTCCAAGCGCTGAGTTTTACTTAGTCTATATCAGAAATTATCAAATTACTTATACTGATTCAGCTATCAAAAATATCAAATTAGCTATAAAAATAGATGGATATCCAGACTTATAACGCATGGCCTATTTCATGAATGACGCGTTAGATGAAATCCCAAGTGATGTAAATAAAGGATGTCCGACAAAAGAACGCAACTTTTGAAACGCCCGCCATTTCTGCTCTATTTATTGCAGCTCTAGTTACTTAATTCCGTCAATACATTTGTATGTTATTATGCACTCAAAATTTGCATTCTTTTTGGGACACCCTTTATATGATTCTAGAAATTAATCTGCATCCATAGACGTTAAAGGGATTTGACTAATCTTGCGTGTTTTTCTATCTGGATACACAGAAATTCATACGCCCATTTTTGCTGTTGTAGAAAGCCGCATGAATGTTGTATGTAAGCATGAATATCATGAGTTTACTTTAAAACCTGAAAGCGTCTCATATGCATGCTGTATTGGTGTTCTTATAGAATGAATGTTAATAGCTAGATCAGTCTGTAACCATTTATGCGATGCACGGTTTCTTATGATTAAGTTTTCATTTTACTGCAAATGCAGAATATTTTATTTCCGAAATATTATTTAACCCCATTTAAGTTCTAGAAACTTAGTCGAACCTTTAGATTACTTATTTGTTTATCTTAAAGATAGAACTTAGAGTAGAAAAACAACTTTTGCTTTCCTCCCTTATTGTTGATCAACGATGGTTTCCAAACATTTTTATGAATTATATTTTATTACGACTTCATTCAAGTTCATTTGATTTTAAAATAATTTTTATTGTAATAGTGAATTCAAAATCAGTAGAATCTGAGCAAAACTCTTGATGAAAATGACCAATTTTTAAAGCCTAATTGACATATTAAAAATGCAAATAAATATTTAAAAACAAATGTTTAGGTCTTTTTACATTACATGGAAAGAGTTTTAAATATCTAGCTCTCTTTGCTTTAAATATCTAGCTACATTGTATGGAATTAATCTGCATCCATAGAAGTCAAAGAGATTTATTAAAAGAGATTATATTTTATATTAAAGAGAGAGGTATTATTATTACATTACTAATACATTTTATCTGACTTTATTTAGAAAATTAGCTTTCATAATTTTAAGTATCTGAGTTATTTTTCCCTTTAAAATTAGAAATCAAAATATGTTTAAATTATCTGAGTAAAATGCGCTAAAAGTAACAAAAATAAATGCTTCTCAGAATTTTAGTAGTTTTTTTTTTTTTTATTTGTAACTTTGAGTACGAATGTGTTCGATGTGTTGCATGATAGAAACATACCTGTAACCGAATGTGTATGTTAATGCTTGTGTGTCAGTAATTATTTGTCTCTGTGTATCCAGATACGTCCTTTGCATCTTGGAGGAAGTATTTCTTACACATCTATTGCACCTTCGATATAAAACCAAAATTAAAGTTATGGAATTTGAAAAGTAAGTAAATGTCACCATCAAAATGTTTCCCATCGGCGTCTGAAATAAAACTTATTAATTATTTCTACGAATTTTAAATTACAGACGAACGGCATGAATTGCACGTGAGCATTGATTTATGTATGAAAAGGAAGAAAACTACAAATGTAACTGAAGAAAAATTCAATTTAATAGCATTTCTCTTTGCAAAAAATTATTAACGGGCAGTTAATTATTTTCGAAAATTTCGAATTCAATACAATTATCAACAACTTTATTAAAGGAACATTATGCACGATTACGTATTTGTGTAATATTATTATCGGCGTATAAAAACATCACCATATGCACGAATTGCATGCATATAAATGTCGAAATTTCGGCGAAACAAGACTTCCGGTAAACTCTGCATGACATATCATTTGCATGCAAAAACTGTTCTAAGCATCTTGCTCATTAATCTAATAATATATTCAATTTTATTGAAATTTAAAAGCAAAATTAAATGGCGAAAGCATCCAGAAAATTGCCTCATTAAAACACACATCTAATGCAAATTTGATTTATGTTTAATTTTTTCCTTGGTCATTTATTTCTAAATTTAAAACAAATATTATATATGTATGCAGCAGTGAAAATGTTAATTTGCATTTTGCATCACAAACAACTTACAGAGCTTGGTGTTCTTTGGTAGAATACAATAAGTCCAAAAGCTTCACAGACTTACAGCGTTATCTGTTAAATTATCGCTGTGCCTTGGAAAGAGCTGCAAAATCTTACGAAGATTTGAAAACAAACCTTTTAATTAAATCCGAACTTTGAGCACGAATCGTGCTACTTAACAAGCAATCAATGTTTGCGGTAGTGAAACTCGTAAACCTAATTCAAATTTAAAACTAAACCTTGTAATCCAAGACTGCACAATTGATTTAAAGCAAATTTGGCTAAAACCTTCTCACCGACGTAACAGTTTACGCTGCTGGTCATTAAAATTGCAACACCAGGAAGGAATGATCTGACGAACGTCAAAATCCCATGAAAGGAAGAAGTTGGGATATGCAAATGATTAGTATTTCAGCACATTTAAAAGACGCAAGAGGGAGAAAAGACATCTGAAGCACTGATTTAAAAACAAAAAGTTGTGTAATGGATTTCGCATTCGGAAAGTGCTTTATAAAGTTGGAGTTTGCTTAGAATATTGTGTTATGCCTGGAATAAGAAGAGGAAATGCTTATAGCAAGTTTCGAAATTCGACAGAGGCAGGATCGTTGCCTATCGAAAGTGCAGATTATCGTTCAGTTTGCTGGTCGCAGTGGCATACATACAACCACTGTCATACGAGTATGGAAGCAATGGATTCCTGAGGGCCGTACTACAGTCTGTCTATCACAAGAAAAGCTCTCGCCAGCTAGTCTGCAGCTGTCTGCTGACGGCTAAAAAGTAGACGACTCGAAGATATGACAACCACTTGGACGTAAAATGTCAGAAATGTACCCATCTGCGTTCAAATTACCGTCGATCTACTACAGATGTGCGTGCCATGTACCTAATGACTGTCCAAATCATCACACTATCTGTCTGATGTTGTCGTATCTTTGCCGTAGAAACGACATCTTTGTCGTATCTGATGTTGTCGTACCTTTGACGTAGGAACACGCCTTGACCCATTGTTCGTAGGGGTGTCTTGAAGACGAATGATAAACTGTTTTCCCCTCAGCCA